GTCTCCACCAAGCACCGGCACCAGCAACCTGTCTCCACCACGTGCACGGCCAGCTCACCGCCAGCACCAGCACCGGCACCCAGCACCAGCAACCTGTCTCGAAAGCGCGCACGGGGGCAACTCATTGTTAACTGAAGTAAGAACCCCATAGCTTCGCTATCTGGGGAAAACACATGCTTAAAAGAAAAACACGCGCGTCAAAAGGACTCTTCATTCCAAACGCAAAAGCTCACAAAGCTCAGACGAGATACCGGCAAGTGAACTGTACATGAGCGAATCAATGCATTACGCTCGCAATGAACCTTCTGATCATCTTCCCTGATAGAAAGTTCATCAATTGAAGATTCAACGTGGCAGCTCTACGCAGGTGAAATGAAAAAACGAAAGAATCAAATCACAGCTGTACACGGCAATGAGTCTTCATAAATCATCTTCCATGAAAAGAAGTACATTCAGAGGAAAACTCATTCTTTGAGCAAATGATATCATTCCTGACAAAATGTATTCATAAGCTCAATGATATTAAAAACCTACCGCATAACACTCACTGCCAAGGCTCACCTGCCTAGTCCTCGGTTCTCACGTTGTCTGGCTTTTGGGCCCTGGTTCTTCTGACGCAAAGTCTGGCCCTATCTGCATTCGTTCTTCTCGGCGCTAGTGACTTGGGCAAGATGCAAAGTCATATACATGGGAGCGTGACCGTCTGTATCTCCTGGGCGAGAGCACGATGTCCTGATCAATGAGAGAACTCTTCGGAAAAGTTGACTCTATACTCTTGGGTATGGGCATCAGCTGCATAGAACTCATCATCGGACATAGTATGACGTCCCTCAAGCAGAATGGTTTCGCAACAGTCACCAGTCATCTCGAAACGAGAACGTTCACCTTCGTCCACGCTGTCCCAATCACGACCAATGGGTCCCTCACACTCCTTCAGACCTAAGGACGAACCAGAGTACCATGTCCTGCGAACTACCGGCTTTGCGTTTGCGCACATGGTGCTGTAGTGAGAGTTGCACATAGGTTGACTGGACGAACTAGAAATTCTATATGCACAACTGTTAGCATCACAGCAACCTGCTCACCTGTCAAGGCGTGACCCTTTATGGTCCTATGAGTATCTACGTCAAAGTTGCAGGTTCTCAATCTCTTCGATCGACATCGTTCCAGTGGAACTCGATCTTCTTCAGGGCCATAGTCTTCCAACTCATACTGCCGGTCCTTGAGCTCACTGCGCGGCCTTGTTTTGCCAAATCTGATTTCGAAAAAAGCCCATGTTACATCACGACGTGGACAGGTCCCTGAGCTTTGATCATGACCGGCAATCACTTTCACATAGCCGTCCGGCGCCAATCTTACCAAGACAGCTAAATTCTTCCAGTCGTGAAAACAAACGGACCTGTTGTCTTCCTGGAGAAACTCAACAGCTTCTTGGAGCTGAAGACAAACCACGCGCGCAGGCAAGTACAACAACATATTGAAAAATAGGTTATCATTCTCTTCCTTGTCGAGAACCAAGGGCCTCTGACTCCTGTACCTTGGTCTCATCAGTTTGTCCAAACCTGACAAGTATCGAGGAGTCTTGTACTTGGCACCTCTAGCCATCTCACCACAATTCCAACTCAACAAGGTGAGACCTAACGTTGACGACAATTTGCTTTTGACCTTCGGCTGTATCGCCTTCGAGGAAACTTTTGCGAATCTCCTCATAGAACTCGACAAAATCCCATCTTGGTCCCTTAGGGCCATAGGTGAGCATTTCTTCCTTCAAATCTTCCTTTGCGAGCTCAAGTGTCTGCTTGGCTTGCGTCGCCCGATTGAAAAGAACTTCAGGCACATGATAGCCAAGAGCACGCGTGAAGTCGAGTCTATCATCGTTCAAATGGTAAATCGCATCATCATCCTTTTCTTGGTAACACTTGGGAGGCGGCGCCTTCTTCAACTCGGCCACAGCTTCAGCACACGCGCGATCTGAGACGGAGACATAACTGTGCCAATGTTCCAAAGGAACCTGGCGAAAACACATGCGATTCAAAAGATCACCATGTGTCTCTCGAAAGTTCATGTGGTAAAAAACCACATCCAGGATTGTCCCAGGCAAGCCTCAAACTTTGCCAAAGGAGATGTCTTCAATTCATTCGTTGCTGGAGAAGGCGAAGAAAGCATTTGCTCAGGTCCCGGAAGTTCCTTTTCCAGGCTGTCTTGCGCTCCCTTCTCTTCATCCATCTTTCGAATTTTGTTGACATTCTGCTTCATGTCCTCCACTTCGGCCTCGGTTGGATTGTCTTCAACAAAACGTGGATCATACATCCAACCTGCTTGGTTTCTGCGACCATTCTTCTTCTGAGAAGAAGGAGGCTTAGCTGAACCGCTCACTTGCTTCCGTCTCACCCGATGGTAAGTTTGAAGCAGCGCTTGCATCCATCTCCTTTGACAAGAAGTCCGATGCAGCTGGCGGTTCATGTGGCCTCTTTCGGTCACTCTTCTCCTTCTCTGGCCGATCACTCAAGTTCTTCCACGACGACATCTTGAGCTTGAGGATCGTCCTTGAGCTTCTCCTCCTCCACGTCTTCACTTCACCAGACATCAGTCGCGGCGACACGTTTGAGGTTAGGAGGCGCTTCACCAGAAACCAAACGAATCGAAAACCCTTGGCCTTTGCTGCCTTCATCTCTTCATCAGCAAGGTCTTCAACAACGTTCTGATATTCAGTGTTTTGTGGCAGTGTCTTCTCATAGACATCTTGATTGCTGGCAACAAAAACTCTGTCTTCTTCACAGCTTCCTTGGTGTGCTCTGATGGAGGAATAATTAACATCAACAGTATCTTCCTCCTCGATGGGAACCTTAGCTTCCTCCTTCTCGATGATCTTGCGCCAACAGGGCACATCATCGGCATCAAAGTCGATCTCAGTGGAAGGATCGAGGAGGTTGGCAATGTTGGCGGCAGCTTGAATATCTTCCGTTGGATCTTCAACGTTAGGATGTTTTCTGACCACCTTGCGACCATGGAGAACGCTCTTCAGCAGTTTGTTCTGCTTCCGGGATGATTCCCAAGTACCAGACCCCACAGGCTTACAAACAACTCTCGACTGGCTCATCGTGCTCAAAAATGATGATGAGCATTGCCTCTCGGCGGGGGGATCACTTGCGCATCGACTTTGGGATCACTTGCGCATCGGGGATCACTCATGCATCGGAGGGTCACTTACGCGTCGAAATCGTGGATCACTTGGCGCGTCGATGGCATTAATGGTTCCAATGGATTGGCCCATAGGGGAGTGAGGGGGGTGGGGGGATCTAAAGGAATGATTGGCCCATGTCCACATCAGCACATCCGACATCCGCGCACAACCGACACACAGTTCTCTATGATCTAAGGATAGCCATTTCTCTGTGATCATGCTTGCCATCGATTGGAAATCTCATAACTTGTGACTCGCGTGCGTGGGCAGTGGGGGTGGGTGGGGGGGTGGGAGGATCTAATGGAATGATCGAGTCCACTTCTTCGCCACCAAGTGGGACAGCCTGTTTGTCCAAATAGTTTAAAACTTGTGTTTGGAAAGGCCTCGGTTTGAAGGAACATTTTTGAACAGCTAAGTTTCCCAAAAAGAATCTAGGAGCCGAATCATTAAGGCTTGGGCATCTTTGAGTTTAGTAGCTTACCCTTTAGTGGCCGCACATTGCATGCTGCGCTCAACGAAAACCCGACGCACAAGCAATCCAAAACCTGACGCACAAGCGATCCAAAACACGACGTGCAAGCGAACCCCCGCCCCTCAAACTCATCCTTTGCGATCAACTCACAGAGAGGATCGGACACCTTTGACCTGGACTCAACGTACTCTTGAAGCTTCAACGTAGCATGCTGAACAAAAAGGACAGTCAGGATGGTACAGAAAAGAACCACCGTGTGTCTTGTCCGAATCGACAACATACCGAGCCATCTTTGGAGAAAACCTGAAGTTCTCAAAGATCCTGAACAAGTAGCGCTGGTGGTACTTATTTAGGCCCGGTTCATTCATTGCTTGCTCTGAAGCCTGTAAAGAGGTGCTCCACCATCGTCCGAGCGCATAAACTTCTGCCATGGTGCGGAGTGGTGCCAGACCCAGTGAGGTAGCTTGCCCAAATACAGATCATGGATGAGTTCAGCAAACAAATGCATCATATCACGAGTCTTCTCATCCATCTTGCACCTCACGCGCAAACGCGCAAACTCTGGGCGCTGGAAAGCGAATGAGTCTTGTCAGTAGGATGGCGCTTGTCCCACATAGGCTTTTCACTCGTAAACATCCATTCTAATAAGACTTGTCAGTTTCCAGCGGCGAGCGGAAGGAATTCTCCTCTTCTGGTCCTCGCCCATAATGGTGTTCCAACTGAGCCCAAAGACACCCAATCTCCCAGCCACGTTTGAAAAAGAACTGCTGGTACTGGTACCCACTTGCGGGCATGAGCATCCATTGAAAAACTCCAGGTTCAGCTTCTGGCTTATACGTCTTTGGCTCTTCTTCTGTACCATATACTGAAGGATGATTTCTTGGCGAAAAACCTCAGGCTGACCACACTCGCGTACCAGTCAGGACAACATCATTACCATTGACCTGGTGTAGACGTCATGAAGCGAGACAAGACCAATGTCGTAGACCAACCATGCATTCAAGGAGAGGTTGCCGATGTTCTTGATGCACAGGCTTGTCTCCAAGACCTTGACATCTTATCGCTCATTTCCTCCTTTTCTTGCTTAGTCTTCTTCACATTTTTCCAAGGGCCATTTGCATCCTCAGCTGGTTCGGCTTCCTCTTCTGTAACATTTAACATCTTCTTCACCTGGAAGCACAAAAGGATTGACCATAAGATCATCTTTTGTTGTCAAACCATCACCATACAAAATCAGGAGCTTGACCTCCGGCGATCGACCATGCATTGTTCGAACCTTGCATTTGTGGCAGGAGGAAGTTCCATCCATGAAAGTGATGCCCCTCCTCCACAAATAGACTGCCTTCTGCGCCAAGAACGATGTGGCGCAGCACCGGCTCACCTTCTTCCTTTCAGCTTTTGAAGCTGCTCTCCACAAGAACGGAGGGATGTCGGGCGGCTTGGATGAACCCGCATATTTCCTTGCCTTGAAACCTCCGGCCTCCAGCATCATAAAAGGATGAGTCGGTTTTGCGAGTCAACGTCTTTTCACCCGCAATGGGATCGAAAACCTCAACCATCTCAACTCCGTCAACGAGCGCTTCAGGGAGATCTGATGGTTCCTCAGGTTCATAGCCTTGCGCAATGCCATGCGCCCTGACATCTTTATCAACAAGCTCTTCAACTTTGGCTGCTTTGACGTATCGACCGATGGAGGATTGCTCGAAACGCTGATCCCTGGGCACAATCCTTCACGAATCACGTTGTACCTACCTTTGCACGTGAAGTGCAACCCAATGTCGGGAACAGCAATCTGGTGGACCCGAATTGGTTGAATTTCAGCAGCAAAGCCCAACTCCATTACATCCTTCAAAGGCAGAACGATGAACTCCTTTCTCCACATAAAGTCGGGTTGGATCGCGCATCCTAGAAAAACACCAGGGTTCAACAAAGCTTCAAGGCGAAGCGAGGCTTTGTTCTTGCTCTGCCGGTCCATAATCAATTCTCAAAGCAAAGGGAACCAACGGACCATTGAACTTCTCACCGAACCTTTGAAACCAAGGCGAACTGCCCTCCCGGGCGTCAACAATGTTGTTGGCGATACACGCATGCCTCGCGGCATGGGCCCAATATTGGTGAAGTCCAGCCTGTTCAAGATTGACGCGTGTTCCGTCGATGACCGACCGGATCGACCTTTCGGCTACAGCATTCGTCTTAGGAAACATATGGACAGCTGGTTTGATGTCTCCAACCAAGTCTTTCCGCAGACGCGATGAGTTCCGGCGAGTTGTCGGGGTGGAACACACCTACTTCGTCGGTGGATTTGATGAAGTGCTTGAAGGCAGCAATGCACTCACGCGTCGTTTGCCGAGCTGTGGGGTAAACATACCTGAAATCTGTTGCAAGAATCCTTCCCTACCAACGCAACTCTAGCTCCATCAATATCATTTCTTCGTCATCATGGAGGGCCAAATGATCTGCAGTCGAACGTTGTCCAAATTTGTCCGCTTCGACTTGCGCGGATCCCCCCTTACTATACGCAGGTCGTCTTGTCATCTTTGCCCTCGAACAAGCCTGACAAAAGGGGTGCTGTGGAGTATATGGGTCAAAAGACACTGAATCGATTGCGCTTCTTGTTTCAATGCAATTGTAAGTCTATCATCACGTTTGGGATCCAATGGTTTCTCATCCAAGCGACCGTCCGAAGGCTCAGGCTCCTCGTCAACGGGATCCTCACCAATCGGATTGTCCTCATCGTCCTCGGTTTCAACAGCCTTCTCAGCGGGAGATGCCGGAAAGGGTACCATGCAGCGTGGTCCCCCAATCGACTGGGTGAACCATAAGGCTGTCCGATTGCCGTCATTGCAATGCCTGTCGACGATGGCAAGTGCGGAACATAATCCTCAACCTCAAGTTTGACCTTCGTACCATCTGGTTTCTTGAAGTAGGGCCGACTGAAGGCGGGCCAGTGAAAGCTCATCCTGCATCAATAAAACGATGCCCGACAGACACAACAGCAGGGCTGTCATTAAGGACATAGGGTTGAATGTCAGGGCGCAAAACAAGGAAATTGACTCTCGCTTGATCGGTTGCCTGAAAACCCCGTTGGCGGTGAGTAAACTCACCGGTTTAGAAGACTATGACACCTCATCAGAGTGAAGCATGTGCCCAGAAACCAAATCATGGGCACTACCTGCGTCGGCAACCCATGGGGTTTCAGCGGCAGGAGCGGAAGTGGATGACCTCAACCTAAAACAATTCACACAGCGGATACCCAAATCACAGAGATAAGAACACTTGGCTGGCAAACAACCAAGCTCATTCCGAACAGCATTCTGCAGGCGCGAAGCTGCGATCGCTGCATCTTCCGTCGCGACACGAATTGCTTCATTTCCACCTCGGTGCTCGAGTGACAAGCGTCGTCTTTTCTTCTTCTGACGGAGTTCAACTGCTTTCCATTTGGTAGATGTATCAACAACAGTACGCTTCAAGCGCATTGATGAATCCCTTGAGGTCGTGATTGATCATCTTGACCGCGTAAATCGCTTCATGCTTGATGCTGGTAGCGAAGTACTCGTGGAATCGCGGGAGTAGGCGGCTACCTTCACAGGCTTTTAACTTCCCTTGCTCTGAGCTCTTCGAATGTCGCGATCTGTCGACCGAGGTCCCCCTTAGCGCAATTGGTAAGGCTGGCAAGCAGCTTTGCGTCGAGGGTTGAGAATCCTTCCGAATCGTCTAGGGCGTCAACCGATTCGTTGTCCTTGTAAACTTTGCCTACAAAGGCGGGCTTCGTCTGGCTTGGCTGAAGCTGCGCAATTGTCAATGTTGTCCCATACCTTGATTTTATCCAGTCTCTGTACTTCTCAGGCGTAGGGAAGTTCGGGGTCGGGATAAGGACTTTGTCCGCCTCCTCTGCACGAGGATCCCGTTCCCTTTTCTTTGCTTTTCTTTTGTTGCTTCTTCAGCTCCTTTCGGATGATGCGCGCAAGACGACTGGACTCAGAACTCGATCCATCCGACTCATCGTCATCACCGGATGACCCAGACGACGGAGGAGAAGGAGAGCGTGTTTCTTGCGCTCTTTGGAACGACCCCTCTTTCGGCTTTTGTCATTCTCCTTCTCCTTTCGTTTATCTTTCCTGTCTTTTCTCGATTTCGGATCGTCTTCGTCTTTCTCATCATTGTGATTGAGTGGAAAAAGTCCATCGCCACCAGGGCTCCCGGACCGTGGCAACTAAATCCTAAAGGCTGGGGAACTGAGGGTTCAGGCGGCTTCGAACTTCTCCCTCAACTCCTTGATGACTTTACTTTGTTCTGCGACCTCAGACCGGAATGCATCCTCTCTTTGCCTCGCAAGCGCTCGCTCATTCTCGGCGGCTGAATGTCTCTCAAGAGCCATCTGATCGAGATAAGCTTGTCTGTCTTGCGCCTGTCTCGCCTGATGAGCGTTGCTCAAGTCATTCAT